CCCCAAAACCCCAAAACCCCAAAACCCCAAAACCCCAAAACCCCTTTTTTGATATTTTTTATAGAATTTTTTAAATAATGGAAGAAGAGATCACATCGGTGGTGATAGATAATGGGTCTGGTATTTCGAAAGCGGGGTTTGCTGGGGATGATTCTCCACGGGCTGTCTTTCCAACAATAGTGGGGAAGCCAAAATCTTCAGGCCTTACCACTAGGATTGACCAGAAAGATGTATATGCTGGAGAAGAAGCTTATAACAAGCGGAGTATACTCAATACTCTCTATCCTATTGAAGCTGGTTATGTTAAATACTGGGATGAGATGGAGAAGATTTGGAATCATACTATTTATAATGTGCTAAAAGTATCCCCTGAAGAGCACCCTTGATTACTCACAGAAGCTCCTTTGAACCCTAACAAGAATAGAGAAACAATGACTCAGATAATGTTCGAGGTGTTTAATGTCCCTTGTCTGTTTGTGCAACAACAGGCTGTACTTGCAATGTATTCTTCAGGGAGAACAACAGGGCTCGTACTTGACTCTGGAGAGGGTGTCTCAAATTCAATGTCTATTTACGAAGGCTACTCCATCCCAAATTCTATCGAGCGGATTGAATTAGCAGGAAGCCACATTACTAAATACCTTCAAGGCCTGCTTAAAGGCAAGAATAAGAACTTATCGACAGAAGCTGGACTTGAAACAGTGAAAGACATTAAGGAAAAACTCTGTTTCGTAGCTCAACAGGATTTTGATATTGCAATGAAGCAATCAGTCCATGATGGCTCAGTTGAAAAGGCTTATGACCTGCCTGATAAGACGACTATCACAGTTGAGGATCAGCGATTCCAGTGCCCAGAAATTCTCTTTCAACCTGGCCATGCAGGCTATGAGATGTCTGGGGTTCATAAATATGTCTACGATTCTATAATTAACTGAGAGGAAGACCTCAGAAAAGATCTCTTTAGTAATATTATACTTTCTGGAGGAACAACTCTGTTTGAAGGGTTTGGTGAGAGAATATGGCGTGAGATGCATAAACTCTCTCCTTCCAGTAAGATTAAAATACTGGCTCCACCAGAAAGAAATCACAGTGTCTGGCTTGGAGGATCTATCCTTGCAGCTCTCAGCACTTTTCAAACAATGTGGATTAATAAATCAGAGTATGATGACTGTGGGCCTGCTATCATTCACAGAAAATGTTTCTAAAATCCGCTAAATTCTTCTTTTAAAACATTGTTCAATTTTTATATTTTTAAAAGGGGTTTTGGGGTTTTGGGGTTTTGGGGTTTTGGGG